CTAGTTGTAGTTCACATACCCCGAGGTTAGGACTATACTCTTTTAAGGTAGACACTCGAACTTGTGTCCACTTATCAACCAAGTATGTGTCAACTTCGATTCATCTGTCCTGGGTTCAGCTTAGATATGTCTGGTATGTTAGCCTGTTCACAACTTTGCTTGTTCTTTCAAATTATAAGGCACTCTATCACCATCATGGTGGATTTATTCACCATGTCAGTAGTAACAAGTAACGTTCACGAGTATTCAAGCTCTGTCGGACATCTAAAATAACCAGGAATTGTATAATTACTCTCGATGCCAGATTTTTATCATGCTACAAACAACTTTTAGGTAGCTCGGGAAGAGGAATATGTCACAAGTCACCCTCTGAGTGGTCCTCACTCGAGGAATCGGTCCACACGTGACCACGTGAAGTGACTTCCGTGACTGAAGGCCATATGGCGTTCTATCCCATTTAAAATTTGAGTTGACCAAACTGTTGATCAGCCGTACGGCGTAGTATCCATTAGATCGTGGACGCTTGACATTCTGGTTTTCATATTCAGAAGTGAAAGACCAGCTGGTTGTTGAACATTTTGTGACCCTTGTGAGCACCATGTTCACCGAAGATTCAAATCGGAAAATAATGAGTTGTTTTTAGAAATGCAACGGCACAGCAGAGAAGTATTCCAAATGATGCGAATGCCAATTTTGTTGTATCGTTCACAAAAAGGCATGGTACGTCCCGTTGGTCAACAAACCAAATAGCTGCAAATTTCCGGAGACTACTTGGCTCTCGTGAAATTATTTCTTTCTGGGCGATGTTTCATACATGGAATATCCCTGGAAGAAGGGACAAACAGACTCAACAGTTGCATCTGGGCTTCACACAAAGTGGTACAACTAAAATAGTGGGACAACGCGATGTTTTCACAGGCAAGTATCAGGTTAATAAAAGTGTTGCACTAGCGCACTATAGTTTGGTTAGTCAGTATGTCGGTGCTTGCTTTTGTGTTCCAAGCCCAGAGGTGTTTTTCTCTTTTCTCATAGTTTTCATCGCTCTTCTGAGTATCTTTGATACCGATTTAAAAAAAAACTCCCGTTGTAGATGTACACAAGCTCTCCTCACATGGTAAAATCACCATCCAGCCGGGCTACTAGGTTTTATCAGTCAAATGATAAATTTTTGTCTAGTTTCCCAGAAAGTTCATCCGGAGGTTTTACCGTACAAAAACTAATAAACAGTTTTCACAACACCGTCTGATATGACAACCAGGACCGATAACCATTCACAATGAAAGAGCAATACAGTATGATAAGCTATCTCTAAGACCATCCGCTGGCAACAGCACTTCGGTTTTTAATTTGTCACAGTGGGGAGTGAATTCTAAGTGAGGAAACTGCTAGGAAGATCAGGTCCCAGAGTTCCCTAAACCTAATTTTACTCTCAAACCCCACCAAAATTACAGTGAGGAAACTGTCAAGCATTCGGGCCACAAGAGCCAACTTCCGATCGAACTCTCAGGCAGTCAATCTATTCAGCAGCGTCCGATGAGTGGTTAGGCACTTCACAGGAGTACGGTTGACGATGATAGGTGTTCACCAAGTGCCGACCAGACAGGCTGGATTGATGTTAAAAGTGCCCTTTAAATACCGCACTCGCTTTTTCGCAATAAAGCTGTTGTGTTCCTTGTTGCCAAGTCTGTTTCTGGCACCAAGGCTCTGGTGCGGGGGCGGCAGTTAGGTACAACAAAGGTTAACACCCCAGCGTACACAGTCAGTAAGCAGTGAAATACCTTATTCCAAGGGGATGAATGCATTATGAGCTTCCCAATCGGTTCTTCTTGAAAAGTGTACATTTTACATGTTGACGTGGTTGTCGTCTTTTTGTGGAGATTTCGTCCTGTAAGTGCTGAAAAGCCGAGAAACACTACACAGCTGTTTCATCCTTATTGGAAATCATCAGCAGTGGCCATCTCACAAAACTCCGGAGTCTCGAACCCGCGACCTCCTGGCTAGTAGTTTGAACACTTAACCGTTCGGCCACGGGCGGCTCAGTGGAGGAATAAACTTCACCCGATGATTGAAACTTCCTCTGAGAAGTCGTTACTCGAGGAGCCTGTCAACACTTGTGACCGCGTGATGTGGATTCCGTGACTGAAGGATGAGCGGTGCTATATCCTGTCTAAGTGCGAGTTAATCACAATGATGATCAGCCGCCCGTGGCCTAACGGTTAAGTGTTCAAACTACTAGCCAGGAGGTCGCGGGTTCGAGACTCCGGAGTTTTGTGAGATGCGCACTGCTGATGATTTCCAATAAGGATGAAACAGCTGTGTAGTGTTTCTCGGCTTTTCAGCACTTACAGGACGAAATCTCCACAAAAAGACGACAACCACGTCAACATGTAAAATGTACACTTTTCAAGAAGAACCGATTGGGAAGCTCATAATGCATTCATCCCCTTGGAATAAGGTATTTCACTGCTTACTGACTGTGTACGCTGGGGTGTTAACCTTTGTTGTACCTAACTGCCGCCCCCGCACCAGAGCCTTGGTGCCAGAAAAAGACTTGGCAACAAGGAACACAGCAGCTTTATTGCGAAAAAGCGAGTGCGGTATTTAAAGGGCACTTTTAACATCAATCCAGCCTGTCTGGTCGGCACTTGGTGAACACCTATCATCGTCAACCGTACTCCTGTGAAGTGCCTAACCACTCATCGGACGCTGCTGAATAGATTGACTGCCTGAGAGTTCGATCGGAAGTTGGCTCTTGTGGCCCGAATGCTTGACAGTTTCCTCACTGTAATTTTGGTGGGGTTTGAGAGTAAAATTAGGTTTAGGGAACTCTGGGACCTGATCTTCCTAGCAGTTTCCTCACTTAGAATTCACTCCCCACTGTGACAAATTAAAAACCGAAGTGCTGTTGCCAGCGGATGGTCTTAGAGATAGCTTATCATACTGTATTGCTCTTTCATTGTGAATGGTTATCGGTCCTGGTTGTCATATCAGACGGTGTTGTGAAAACTGTTTATTAGTTTTTGTACGGTAAAACCTCCGGATGAACTTTCTGGGAAACTAGACAAAAATTTATCATTTGACTGATAAAACCTAGTAGCCCGGCTGGATGGTGATTTTACCATGTGAGGAGAGCTTGTGTACATCTACAACGGGAGTTTTTTTTTAAATCGGTATCAAAGATACTCAGAAGAGCGATGAAAACTATGAGAAAAGAGAAAAACACCTCTGGGCTTGGAACACAAAAGCAAGCACCGACATACTGATTAACCAAACTATAGTGCGCTAGTGCAACACTTTTATTAACCTGATACTTGCCTGTGAAAACATCGCGTTGTCCCACTATTTTAGTTGTACCACTTTGTGTGAAGCCCAGATGCAACTGTTGAGTGTGTTTGTCCCTTCTTCCAGGGATATTCCATGTATGAAACATCGCCCAGAAAGAAATAATTTCAAGGTTATTCATTTTACTTGTAGTTGAACTCCTGTTCTTCGAAAGAAACCTCCGACAGAAGAACGCTTTGAAGGCATTAAAATTTTACGAAATAAATGTTTTGTGGTAGTAACAATCCTTGACGGCGAAATCCCCGAGCAATCGAGAGGTTAGCACTCTTAACCCATGAAGTAATATTCGGAGCTTTGTCTTCTGTCTTGATCTCATTATGCCCACTGCATGAAGTTTGATTGACTGACTTGTATTCAATAAATCACGATTACTCAGTGGAGGGCAATGCATAAAATTCGTCCGAGCTGCCACTGTTGCTTCACGGAACAATCTGTCTCTAAGCTAAACAACCAAGGTCGAGCGTTCATGTGGATTAGAATTGAATTGCATGCGCTGCAAGCCACTGTCAGACACGACTTTTAATGCGACACAAGAAAGATGTAGACAAATTGTAAAAAAAGACTTCAGTTGTCAAGCAGGGGATGGTTCTAAGAGGGAAAGTCCCCACTCCGGAGCCTGTGGAGATCAAGATTCGAAGAAAAGTTTGAGTGATTTTAGACAATAGTGTTTCGGTGTAATACTGGCAAATGGCCATCGTAACATTTCCAGTTTCATATGTTTAACATCTGGTGCTTGCGGATTCGTTTCGTCACTAACCGTCAACAAATAACATGGATACTTTCAGATGGTGTCGCCTAGAATGATGAGTAACCTGTAAATCGCCATGTGACCAACTCTGCTTGAACATAACACATTCCCTGCTCATTTCAAAACTTGCTGGTTCAAACAGACACTGTTTTCAGTCATGAGGCAGTTCGCCGTGTCAAAACTTTGTCCTAACGAGGATCTCTGCACACGATTTCAACGGTATTCATCAATGCTGTCTTAGCCTAACACTCAATGTGGTGGCGTTTATTCAAACTGCGATCTTCTGTAGTGCACGATCGACGCAATTCGCTGGATGGAACGGGTTGCTTTTCGGTAAGTTACATTCGATTACATAAATGTCCCTGGTACGGATAAACGTCAAATCGACGTCCTTGTCCTTTCACAGTCCTCTAAGTGCATCTCTACAGAACCATTGTGTTTCCCTCCTATCACTTCCGCACACGTGGTCGTCATTATCTAATTCCGTATTGTGTCCATCGTGATCCTATCATCAAGCACCGATACCACCACATGTTGCTCTGTTTCGGTGCCTCGTTCTCCTCAAAACCGATGGTTAGAGTTTTCTCTTGGACCCTTTACCCTTTGGCATGGTGTTCAGCCAATCGGCGTGCACAAAAACAGAATCCTGATGATGCACACAAGCTTTGCTTTCATGTGTGATGTATGCTAATTAGCACCATTGTTGTTCTTTGCATACCAGTTACCAGACACGAGGATTGTCATGCCACTCTCCGTATTGTCAGTCCCTTGTTCAGTGGTGGCGTTGATCGCCACTATCCTGCTAATGAATCACTTCCTTTCCGACATCTGCTGTGTCAAACTGTTATTCCGTCATCTCTGAGTAGAGCCTCTGGCCGTACAACACTTGGAAAGTCACTATCCAGACATTATGAACTTTATTTGTGCGAATTCGTTGTTTTTGCTCTTATGCGCATCTTTAATGAGTGCTGTTATTTACCGTGGACAAAGCTCTGTGCCCAGCATTGTAAAAAAGGCAGAGCGCTACAAACGTAACAACCTGGATTCAAACCTGGAACCGATTTCGGAAGCTTCCGGTGAGCGGAATGAATTAGATCAAGTCTTATCTCTCCCCGATGCAATGAACCTGCCTTCATTGGCACCGATGGAGCTAGAGATGGACGCCAAAATAAAGCTTTTTGGACAGGAAGATACTATTCACAATGGTGAACTCAATCCATCAGACCGAGAATTGTCTACCCCAACTGAACATGGATCAACAGAAGTGAACAAAGGACAAGATGATTTCCATGCTTCGGTTCCTGGGGAGCGCGAGACCGGTGATTTGCATGACACAAACTCAGCAGACAAGCACACATCTGAGGTTATCATTACCGAGTTAACTGAGCTTCAGAGTAAGGATGAGACAACCATTGGTTTTACTGCTTCGACAGCTGATGAATTTAGTACTGAAGACGTGGTTGCTCTAGCGAATGACTTAACGACTACATCTGATGTGCCAATAACGTCAGTATCTTCAATCTCTCCGCCACTAGATACTGTCAGTAATCAGGATGATTTGAGTGTGCCCAGAGAACCTGAATCCCTCACATCCAGTCTAGCTTCAACTGTCGAAATTAGAAACGATGAATCCCCTGAAATCGCGGTTTCTGTTGATGAGCTGACAGTGACAAAACCTCCGGAGTCTGGAAGCAACAGCTTTTCTGATGGTGGTAGCATCGAAAGTGAACTGAATACGCTCCCAGCTGATGATCTGGTCCAAACAGCGGGAGTGATTACAGAAACAGTTTCTGAAAATTTAGATACAGATCAGTCCACCACAACTGAATCTCAAACGGTTCCTGATTACATCATAACCAATGCTGGCTTGCAAGTGACTGAAGCTGCCACATCTGTGGATTCTGTGCGTTCTTCCGAGAACATAGACACTGACGTTGACAACAGCGTGGAAAACGAAGTGATGCTGACCACAATTGGGGAGGAATTCGCTACAGAAGGGAGTTCAGTTGGCCACTCAGAAAATTTAGCTTCAACTGAATCTGCCATAACCGAAACCGAGGAAGTTCTTGAGCACATTACAACTGGTGAGATTTTGTCCGTGACTCAAACCGATATCCCTGAGGTATTCACCTACTCTTCCGAAACGACAAGTTCTGCTGGTGATGACGGTGTCATAACTGAGTGTCTCAAGTCTACAAGTGACTACATGGATCCAACTGTAGAATCGACCTCTAACACACAGTCCAAAGGCTTAGATACCAGCCCCACAGAGTACTCCACAAGTATAGAACCAAATCCGTTGACATTACCGACAGAAGACTCGGCCAAAGTAGATGACGTCATCGCGTCCGAAGTCTGCAAACCTATGGACGAGGTAGCATCCAAAGAAGACTCTTTCCGCGTTCCCTGTGATTTGTCCACAATGGAGGGTATACAGACCAGTACATCCATACCGGAGGACACGAGTGAGATAAGTGACCTCTCGAGTCCTGGATTGGCAATGGAGCCCACCGAGGTTGTAACCGTTGTGCACACTACTGATGATGAATGGAACGGTC